ACCCACACCAGTCAACTAACACCCGAGTACCCATTTTACTGATAAGTGAACATGGACAAAAGGTGTAAGGAAACACACACAATGTTTCCACCCTTGCTGGGCATCGAACCCAGACCCCTCAGCATGTGAAATGAGAGCTTTGCCTACTAGGCCATGAGCCACCCTATGGTACATGTTACACCAAAATGCTGTCATAAGTTTCATTCTCCTATGTACAGGTTATTTGTGTATTTTACCTGACAATATATATACATGGAAGTTACTTAACCCTTTCAGGGTCCATGCCGTAGATCTACGGCTTTACGCTCAGGATCCAAACCATAGATCTACGCCATGAGCTCAGCTCTGATAAGCTGTGAGTGGTAGATTTGGGCCTAGATATGAGAGAATACAGCTATGTGGTATGTGTGCACCACATAAAACAAACCCTGCAGCACAGTGTATAATGAGAGAAAAAACTGAGACCGTGATTTTCGATTAGAACAGCGACTTTGCAGTGTTTTTTCGTATGTTTTTATAGTTGTATTTGCGATTTCTTGGTCTCATTTGATAGAATGGAAGACATATTACAGAAATAGAGATGATTTTGATTGGTTTTAGCACTGGAAATGGCTTGAAACTGAGCTCAAAGTAGCAGAAATGTTAAATTTTTGCCGATGTTCAAGAGTAAACAAACGACCTCACACGTCTAATACACGCCAGCTGATGGGTCTAATATACATTCACAAATGTGGTGATGATATTTATACAATTATTACAGTATTGCATAGTAGTAAATCTTCTATTTTTTGGTTTGAATAAAAATTCATTATGTGAATAAAAAATCAAAATGGAATTCATTGTAAAGCCTCAAAACATAACTAATGAGCAGAGGAAATGGACCCTTTTTTGAAATTGGAATATTTTGAATTTTGTGTTAAATTGGCCAAATTACCAATTTCCGATCACTTTATTTTGTAGCTGAAACAGTTGACTTGGAGATTTCTTGTGCTCAATCGATAGAATAGAAGTAATACTAGTGAAATAGCTAAGAATTTGGTAGACTGGAATAATGTAATTGGCCTAAAATGGGAGTAAAAGTCGGCAAAATCGCCAGTTCGTAAATATTGCTGACACATCAAAATTCATGAGAGCATAATTTCGTCAATTTTCCATCAAATTTCATACTTTTTGTTTTATTACCTTCAGAAAAAGATTCTCTACCATTTCATAAGAAAAAATAAAAATAAAAATTTTGAAAATTCTTGGACCCTGGTGCACACTTTGAAATTTGGCCTCTGGACCCTGAAAAGGTTAATTAAGGGTCTGGCCCTTAATCCACACACTAACAATGTACTGGAGTGAAAGATATGGGAGGAAGTGTAAAATACACCCAGTGAAAGCTGGGTCCACATGGGCACTATTGGAGAACATTATATCAATATCCGGGGTCAAAGACTATTCAACCTGCTACCAGCAATGCTCAGAAATATTGCTGGAAGAAGTGTAGCACAAGTTTTCAAGAGCATACTGGATCACCACCTTTGACAAGTGCCAGATTATCCAGGCTGATGGCTATGTGGGCCAATGGCCTCCAACAGCAAAAGCCTGGTTGGGTGGGCAATTAACAGAAAAGGCCCCATGGTGACTTATGTATACATACAATACAAAAAAACACCAAAAAATGCGAAGAAACACAAAATAGTTTACAGTGAAGTTCTGGCAGGTCGTATTTGTTTGGTCGGGTGCTGAGCTTTGTTCGAGTAGGGAGCTGGTCGTATACCGAGGTTCCACTGCATGTGTAAGTCGTCATGTAAAAAATCCACCTCACACTACCATAACATACTGGAGTGAGAGAGATGGGAGGAAGTGCAAAATAAACCCAATGAAAAGCAGAGGTGCAGTGGGCACAATAAGGGAACACTGTATCAACATCAGTGGCCCCAGACTATTCAACATCTTACCAGGCAGTATCAGAAACACTGCTGGGACAAGTGTAAAAGTCTTCAAGAGGAAACTGGACAAGCACCTCCACCAAGTGCCAGATCAACCAGGTTGTGATAGATATGTGGGGTAGCAGGCCACCAGCAGCAACAGTGTGGCTGACCAGGAAAGCACTATACTTGTCTGGCCCATGGCCGTGCTCTGGGAGTAGAAAAACTTCAGAACTCATCAAAGGTATGTCAGGTATCAGCCAAATGAGTGTGAAATGGAAATCTTTAAATTTTATGCACTCTAGTAGGAGTGCTGATACTTTTCTTTATTTTCTCATGAACAGGTATGATGACATGTAAATCTTACAAACTTCTACTTACATCATGGTACACGTAACTTTAACTTTCTCTGTACATCTTAATAGGTCTTAATCATGCAATATTTCCTTTCCAATCTAGGAGGCCTCATCTAAGACTGGGCCATGGGAAAGATAATGCCCAGAGCCACTAACTGATAATAGATAACGATCAAATAATTATACACATGTACAATATACATTTCATATTAAAGTCTTGAATGCCCTGCTTTTGTAGTCACCATAAATAATTTATTATCCATTATGGGATTTCAGGATAGTAACACAGTGGAACCCCGGTTTTCGAACTTAATCCGTTCCAGAAGGTCATTCTAAAACCGAAACGTGTGAATACTGAATCAATATTTCCCATAAGAAATAATGTAAATACAATCAATCTGTTCCAGACACCCAAAAATATTCACAAAATACTTCAATATGACACTAATATCAACTCTACCTTTCAAGGCAGGTGAAATTGCCGACCTAGAAAATGTACAGAGAACTTTCACGGCGCGCATAACGGAGATAAAACACCTCAATTACTGGGAGCGCTTGAGGTTTCTAAACCTGTATTCCCTGGAGCGCAGGAGGGAGAGATACATGATTATATACACCTGGAAAATCCTAGAGGGACTAGTACCGAACTTGCACACGAAAATCACTCACTACGAAAGCAAAAGACTTGGCAGACGATGCACCATCCCCCCAATGAAAAGCAGGGGTGTCACTAGCACGTTAAGAGACCATACAATAAGTGTCAGGGGCCGAGACTGTTCATCTGCCTCCCAGCACACATAAGGGGGATTACCAACAGACCCCTGACAGTCTTCAAGCTGGCACTGGACAAGCACCTAAATTCAGTTCCTGATCAGCCGGGCTGTGGCTCGTACGTTGGTTTGCGTGCAGCCAGCAGCAACAGCCTGGTTGATCAGGCACTGATCCACCAGGAGGCCTGGTCACAGACCGGGCCGCGGGGGCGTTGACCCCCGAAACTCTCTCCAGGTAAACTCCAGGTAAATATTAAACAATATTAATAACACAGAAACATGATATATACTCAAGAGTGAATAAAATATGTCATTACAGTGGTGGTGATGGTTGGTTGGTTGGTTGGTTGGTTGGTTGGTTGGTTGGTTGGTTGGTTGGTTTGGTTTGGTGGGTGGGTGGGTGTTTACAAGGGCCACCGACAGGATAAGTCGTACATATAGTGTTGATGGTGGCAGCAGTGTTGTCATTGGCCCTATATACCTCAAACAACAATGAAGGAGTTAGTGTCATGTCGTCATTTTCCTATTGCTTAATTAATCACTTAACTTACTTGCTACACTGTTAATGCTACACTTTATCGCTGGCTGGCACTATAGCCTTTATCGACTTCTGCTGTTTTAGTATCGTACATATCGTAGAATCACTGAAGAAGGCACATTCTCCCCTCTCTCAGCCCTTTACCAAAGGGCTGGCTGGCACTAGGAACTTTCTTTGGGTCCATGGTGGCTTATTTTGCAGTCACAATTAATAAACAAGCACCAAAAACAAGGGAGTATTACAAAATGTTTTGGAATGTGCAAAGTAATGCTCACTCGACCAGTGACAGAGGCAGACTAAGACATGTAGTGGCGGCATCCCTGGGCGGGTGGACGCATATAATACGTGCAATTACCAGATCTAAGGTCCTATATCCGAAACAAAATTTTGCATAAAAAACGGTCCGAAAACTGAAACGTCTGATAACTGGAGCGTGCGAAAACCGGAGTCCCACCGTATATAGCAAAATGTAATTGTAAAACAGATACAGTACGTGTATTAGTTTTGTAAGGGACATATTATGAAACCTCAAAATTGTATGTAAAATACATATGAAATAGGTCAAAACATTGATTTCTTAATGTACAGAATATCCTGTCTTGTATTATTCAGATAATTAGTTAGTTGGAAAACTAACTAAATGTTAATTACTTCTTAAATAGGGTTAGTCTTGCTAATAAATGTGATTTTCATTTTTCATTGTAACATTATGGAAATCACTGCTTATAAGTGAAAAAAAAAATATAATGCATGAATGATTTACTGTATTTTCTGGCATGCAAAGCACATTTATTTTCCCCCAAAAAGTCTTGGACAATCAGCCAGCACCTTGTATGCTCAAGGTCAGGGTCAAGGGGTTAGCTTTGGGTTACATTTTAGCAGTTGTTTACTAATGTTACATTGCAACTCCTTGAAACATTGTCTTGAATGTCTCATACACTCATGTGCTTTATATGTAGGAAGATACAGTACTCTGATTATACCTGAATGCCTTTTCAATTCATCCTGCCATGGATTCGAATGTTGTAATGCTGAAAATAGTGAAGAAAAGATGCACTTTGCAGAACAGGCTATTAGTGAAATAATGTTTCTTTCTGCGTAGATCTTTACAAAGTCATCAGAGTGGAACATTGGCCCAGTGAATATGTTCTTATCATCCTGCCATAAAAAAAGCTGTTTCATTGAAAACAAAAAATATATACATATACCATATGTATAAATATAATTTAGGCAAGGTAACATCACCCTAGTGGAAAGGAAGATATTGAATTAGGATTCACAAATCTTTTCACTCTTGAGATCCCTCTAGCAGTTTACAACTTTTTTACCCTATATTTCTATTTACGAATGTAAAATATCCCATCACATTTTCTCCTTATTTCTAGATTTCTTTGTAAAAACCTTTTCTACTGCATTGTTCCAGGATTATTCTAACATCTTCACATGTGTTGCGCCGAGTGAAAAGGTACACTCGCGTGCTGTGTGTGTGTTTGTGTGAGTGCTTGTCATAGTTTTTTTCTGCATGGCATGTACTTGCTTCAAAACTCTGGCTCATAATTCCTTTACTTATATTTTCCTCGTGTAAGTTCTAGTGTCTATGGTGTGTGGATATACTGCTCCAGAGGACGATTATATTTATTCAAGTCTTGTAAAAAACGAAATGGCAAATTTATTTCTAACTGTCACGGCTGTGTGCAGTGTTTAGCAAATATTTGTCTAGATATATTGTACTGTATTTATGGCAGTAATACTTTTTTATAGTAGTCATGATTCTAATATGATCATGTTACTTTTATTGATTACAGAGTCGCGCATTTATTAATGTTTCTTAGAATAAGACAACTATAAATTTATGCGGTGTCTTTTAATTATTTAAGTGTTAAAGAATAATGACATGTTGCAGAAACAGTTGCCGGAATATTTTGCATGCTTGTACGACACACTCAAGCAAGCCATTTACTGCTTGCTTGCAGCAGTAAAACAGTGAGAATGTATTCAGAGAATGAGACTACTTTTGTGTGTATACTTTGAGATACAATAGAAATATGGAAATGGGAAAAATTATAAAAAAACAAAAAAACTATGATGAATGGCAGTGAAAATAAATTTTTTGGCTTGTATGATGTTAGTAAGACAAGGTGAAAGATTATAGAGTAGAACCCCTGTATCCACTGATTCAGTATCTGCAGTTTCAGCTATCCATGGTTTACCATGGCCCATAAATGCCTCTTAATTTTGCATAATAATGGCCCCAAAGTGGACAAGTTGAAAAGCCAACAGTTCTTCAAAGTCTAAGAGAAACTGTGAAGTGCTACCCATCAGTGAAAAATTTATAATTCTTCACTTATTGTGCATAATTTATCAAACTTTATAATAGGCATGTACAGGACTTGTATATAGGGTTTGCTACTATCCACGGTTTCGGTATCCATGGCAGGTCCTTGGAATGTATGCCTGCGGATACAGGGGTCCTGATGTAGTTTCAAAGAGGAAACATGGTAAATGTTTTGCACTCTGGCAGTGTTGCTTTTTTTTGTGTGTGAGAGAGAGATTGAGAGAGAGAGAGATTGAGAGAGAGAGAGATTGAGAGAGAGAGAGAGATTGAGAGAGAGAGAGATTGAGAGAGAGAGAGAGAGAGATTGAGAGAGAGAGAGAGAGAGAGAGAGAGAGAGAGAGATTGAGAGAGAGAGAGATTGAGAGAGAGAGAGATTGAGAGAGAGAGAGATTGAGAGAGAGAGAGATTGAGAGAGAGAGAGATTGAGAGAGAGAGAGATTGAGAGAGAGAGAGATTGAGAGAGAGAGAGATTGAGAGAGAGAGAGAGAGAGAGAGAGAGAGAGAGAGAGAGAGAGAGAGAGAGATATGACATAACATGCAAGATTACCATTAAATTTTACAAACTACTACTCACTTTCAGTGTACACTTTACCTTTGTGTGTTTCTTAATAGCTCTTATTCGTGTAACATTTCCTTTCAAATTTAGGATGCCTGGTCAATCAACTGGCCAGAATTATTGGCAGAAATTTTAACAGCTATGAGTGATTTTTTTGTGCATTTTTCGTATTTCCTTGTAGCAAAGATGAAGCATCTATAGTGAGTGCTAAAATTTCTTACCTGTAAACCTATACCTGGATGGTGTTCTGGGGTCAACACCCCCATGGCCCAGTCCATAACCAGGCCTTGTTCTTGTCAGCCATTTCCTAAAAAGTGTTTTTGATGTGCAGTATGGATAGAGTATAGATCAAACCCAATTTCCTCCCATTCCTAAAGATACTGTATGACCCCTATGGGTTTAAGGTTTGGAATGAATATAACTTAATATGCTTTATCCCTGCTATGTCAGCAAGGAATCTTACTGACCTTGGCCCCTACTAGGATCCTACCTTCACATTCCTTTTATTAGTCCATTTTACTGGAGTGTGGATAAAGAATCAAGCTTATATGCATGTGTGCGAAGTGCAGAGTATGTTCGTGTGGGATGTTGGTGTGTTTGTTCCAGCTTGGGATGTGTGTGTACATGCGTGTTCCAGCAGCTTGTGCATACGTATGCTTTTTCTAGTTTTGTTTGTATGGGATGTAGGTGTGTGCGTGTATCCCAGCTTGTGCATATGTATGCTTTTTCTAGTGCGCGTGTAGGATGTGTGCGCGTGTGTTCCAGCTTGAGTACATGCATGGGTTGCAGAATACCTGGGGACCTATTATATCTGTACTAATATTTTTTGTTAATATTTTTCTATTAGTACAGATGAGGCATTAGCTGCTGCCTGTTAATGGTGTATAAATTATGCTTATTTTTTTCACTTTTGCTGTTGCATTCACAGCATGGATTTTTAATTATATATTTTTAAATTACATGCCCATTAAAAACTGAAGGCAGAATTTTTTAACATTTAATTATTTTAAATAAAATAGGTTCAGTAAAGCACTTGATATTAAGTATATTGTATTACTACGGTATTAATATTTTTGTAATTATTCAGATTAGGGTACTTATTTGACCCATAATAATACTGTCTTGTTTAAGAGTAAGGTCATGTCACTGAAATATGCATCTAGTATAGATATGAAGATAATTTTATATACTGTCTGACCTTATCTAATGGTACCGTGAATAATAGTTTAGTCATGCTTCTGATTGTCCATTACCCCTGGGTGATGTTCCCTGCTGTAAATGAAGCTTATAACATCAACAACCAATGTATTTATGATAAAACAGTGAGTTACGTGCTCTTGTAACCTTGCAGGACTACCATGTGATCTTCATGTATGAACCCGACGACCGGTGCTTGGTGTTTGACCTGGACTCTGATCTGCCGTTCCCCACGTACTTTCACAAGTATGTTACAGAGACTCTCCGCACAGATCACATCCTTCGCCCAGAACACCATAGGTACGCTTGAAACTTCTTTTTTTTTTTAACAAACCAGCCATATCCCACTGAGGCAGGGTGTCCCAAAAAGAAAACCCAAAGTTTTTCTTTTTAAATTTAGTAATTCATACAGGAGAAGGGGTTACTAGCCCCTTGCACCCTGCATTTTAGTCACCTCTTACTACATGCATGGCTTACAGAGGAGGAATTCTGTTCCACTTCCCCAGGGAGAGCTTGAAACTTATCCCCAGAAGGGTGTGTGTTTCAGGGTAAGACAAATTTTAATGATGTGCTGAAGATATTAAAACAGTCTTTGTATTACTGTACTTCATTTATAATAGTACAGTTTTTTTTTTTTTTTTTTTTTTTTTTTTTTTTTTTTTGTGAAGTGCTTAATCTGTGAGAGTCATTGTGCACAGTGATGGAGGCTTGTTTCTCCATCTGCTAATTGTGAGATACGCACACTACAGATGCTCCTTGCTTTATAATGGATTGACTTACGATATTTGGAATTTATGGTGCGGTAGTGATGCACGTTCCAGAAGGTCGGTTGAAATCCAAAATGGACGAAAACCTAAGTAATATTTCCCATAAGAAATAATGTAAATCCAATTAATCCATTCCAGACACCCAAAAATATTAACAAAAAGTACATTTTATAGAGAAGACCTATAATTTTACATACAGAAAACAATGAGAGATAAATATAAAGCACTAATTTTAATGGATAAATGAACATTTATGGAAGTAGGCAAGGAGGGGAGAGAGAGGAGAGGATATTTTTTGGAAGGGGAATCCCCCTCCATAAGGACTTCAGGTGTCAAAACCCTATCCCGGGTTACTTCCTTCTTTGTCTTTTACTGGTACTAGGACCAGCTTGAGTGTCACTGCACCCCTGTCACAAAAAAATCTGTCCAGGGAGGCCTGTTTCTGGAGTCTTTAAGATTTGCCTAAAATGGGACAAGACATTGTCATTGAACATGTTGCAGATACAGCTTGCAACAGTTTTGTTAGTGATAATTCTCCGCAAAACTTTGTAACTCACTCCACTTTGCACACATGTCTTTAATCACTGAAGAAGGCACATTCTCCCCTCTCTTTTCCTCCTCCTCTTAAACAATTTCCTTAGCTGTGATCTGTTACTGTACCAGTTGAAGGTCTTGCAGTTCTTCAGTGGTTAGCTCTTCCCCATGGTCCTTCACCAACTCTTCCATATCCTGGCCATTCACATCCAGCCCCATGGACTTCCCCAAAGATACAATAGATTCCACAACAGGTGTAGGGTTGTCAGGGTCAGCCTCAAACCCTTCAAAATCCTTCTCTTGGACACATTCTGGCCACAATTGTCTCCAAGCAGAGTTAATCATCCTGGAAGTCACTTCCTGCCAAGCCTCCTCTATAAGGCTTATGCAATTGAGGATATTGAAGTGATTCCTCCAGAACTCTCTTAAGGTCAGTTCAGTGTCTGAGGTCACTTATAAGCACCTCTGAAACATTACTTTGGCCATGAGCTGGATGAGAGGAGTGGTATTAGGGGGCAAGAACTTCACTGTGATGAAACTAAACTCCTTCAACAATTGGTCTTCCAAGTCAGGAGGATGAGCAGGAGCATTGTCCATTGCCAGGAGGCACTTGAGTGGCAATTTATTTTGTTGATTTGGACTTCCCATACATCCTGGTGAGCTCAGCCACATGTACACCACTTTCATATTTTGATACAAGCTCTTTCTTGAATTCTATCATGTTTCTCACCTTCTTTACCAAAAGGCTGGCACTCTGAACTTTCTTTGGCCCCATGGTGGCTTATTTTGCAGTCACACTCAAAAAACAAGCACCAGAAACAATGGATGAACACGTGGAGTATTGTTCACTTGACAACTAACAGAGGCAGATTGAGTCAGGTGGCAGTGTCCCAGGCAGGCAGACGTGTCTGATGCAGACAGTTTCCGAGTCGATATATGAAACCCAGAGTAAAAATTCGCCGAAAAAAGTGGTCGAAATCCGAATTGTACGATATTCAGACTGGACGAAAACTGGAGTTTTACTGTACAGTATTTACTTTTCAACACTGGTATTTAGTTAAAATAATTATTTGTTTACTTGTTCAATGACAGTAGTTACTGTATTTATTTACTATTTATTGATCATGTATTCATATTCGACTTATGATATTTTCAACTTACGATGAGTTCATAGGAACATAAGTCCATCGCAAGTCGAGGAGCACCTGTACTCTCATAGCAAATGAAGCTAAAGTTAGGTTAGGTCAGGTTTGTCAGGAAATGGGACAAGTGTTTCCTGACGCAGGTCTTAGTCACACGATGACCCGCAGCTGAAGCTTTGGGTTATCTGACCGAGACCTTTTCCTGGCTTACCCCTCCACCTCTTTGAAAAATTGAGGTTATAATTATAGCCATTTATTTTATTATGCCAGACTAAGGGGTAGTAACCCAGTATATGATACTGACAAGTTGTACATAAAGACAAACACCTGAGCATCCTTGATAGTATTAACAAATACAGCAGTTCAGTAAGTAGTTAGTTATAACATACCTGCCACAGTGGTCTAATGTTTCTTGATTATACTGTATCCTGCCCACCTCAGGACACAGCCAGCCATCAGCCTTTATCTGACCTTCACATGTATCTTGCCTTATAGAAACTGTTTCTCTTGTGAATAATGTCCCAGAGCTGAAACATTTCCATAATAAAATGTCCTAAGCGTTTGTTCAAGCATCTTTATCCACATCTAGATTTGCATTATAACATCTGATTGCATCTCTGTTTATGAGTCAAGTTATATGGGCAAGTCTCCTTAGACCTGCTGCTCCTGTTCACCTGGTAGTAAAAAGTTACCTGGATGTTAGTCTAGGATTGTGAATCACATGTTAGGGAAAGACCCCAAGGACTGCTACAGACATAAGCCACCCAACTTTTCCCTTTTTTGATTATCGTGGACTAATAATCTGAAGAAAGTTTCCTTTTCCATCTTAACCCGTAAACGGTCCAAATGTATATATACGTTTTTTCAACATTTGAAAGTATGTAATAAAAGTAGATCTTCTTTTTTTTTTTTTTACATTTGAAGACATGTAAAAAAAACTTTGATCTACTTTTTTTTTTGTTATATTTAACCCTTTGAGGGTTTTCGTCGTACTAGTACGTCTTACGCGTAGGGGTTTTTGACGTACTAGTACGCATAAATTCTAGCGGCCTCAAATCTAGTGGGAGAAAGCTGGTAGGCCTTCATATGAAAGAATGGGTCTATGTGGTCAGTGTGCACAGTCTAAAAAAAATCCTGCAGCACACAGTGCATAATGAGAAAAAAAAACTGACCATTTTTTTTGGAATAAATCAGCGACTTTGCAGTGTATTTTCGTATGGTATTTATTATTGTATTCTAGTTTTCTTGGTCTCATTTTATAGAATGGAAGACATATTACAGAAATTGAGATGATTTTGGCTGGTTTTACAATGAAAGGTGCCTTGAAATTGAGCTCAAAGTAGCAGAAATGTTCGATTTTTACCAAACTTCAAAAGTAAACAAATCGTGCCAAGCGTGCAATACACGTCAACTGGTGAGTCTAATATTCTTTCACAAGTGCACCAATAATATTTATACCATTTTTTACACTAATGCAGTAGTCTGCATAACAGTAAATCTTATATTTTTTGTGAGAATAAAAATTCAAAATGGAAAGCAAAAGAATATAAGAGGGACCTTGAGACGTGACTAATGACTAGAGGAAATGTCATTTTAGTGCCAGGAATGTCTTTCTTGTTTATTCTGGACCCTATTCGGAAATTGGCATCTTTTGAAATTTGTGTGAAATTGGCAAAATTGCTAAATTCTGACCACTGTACTGGATAGTTGAATTTCATAAATGGGTGGTTTCTTGCACCCATTCGATAGAAAAAATGGAGTTCTAGCGAAATATTCATGTTTTTTGTCGACTAGTACAGCGAAATTGGCCAAAAATGGGGCTCAAAGTGGGCAAAATCGCCGATGCGTAAACATCGCCAAGACCGCTAACTTTGCGAGAGCATAATTCCGTAAGTTTTCTATCAAATTTCAAACTTTTGGTGTCTTTATGATCGGGAAAAGATTCTCTATCTTTTCATAAGAGAAAATAATTTTTTTTTTTTAAATTTGGCCGACCCTGAGAACGAGTTTCGGAGAGGGCCTGTCGACCCTCAAAGGGTTAAAAATATGTAAAAAAACGTACATCTACTTTTGGAGCACTACACATGTGAATGTAGATCTGCTTGGACCGTTTACGGGTTAATATAAACCTTTCAGATTTTCAATGAGTTTTTTGTTTTTCCTATTGCTCACTTCCCAGAAGCATCATGGATGCTTCTGAGAGATGGACTTGCAGTGCTTGAAGTCTGAAGGAGGGGTGAGGATATTATAGATCGTAGGGGCATTTGAACTGTAGTATTGGTGCACCTCTGGTAAGACGGTGATGGAGTCAGTTTCTTTTTTGGGTCACCCTACCTCAGTGTGAGATGGCCAGTGTGTTAAAGAAATTAGAAAACTTTACAGTAGCACTGAATACTGTTCAGAGTATTAGTAGATCTTGACTGTTTAAAGATTTTCCTTCTTCTTTTCAGATACTTCCGAGTAGTTTCAGCATCTGTGTTCCTTCAAAAGTTTGCCAGCGACAGACGGCACATGAGACGTGAAGACGGCACCTGGATGCATCCTCCCCCACCAACCTCGCCAATTGCAACTCCAGGTGAGGCTTCTCCCACTTAGTCAGAATTTAAGACGTACAGGAGAGCCACAAGTATTCGGCATCCTCTTTGAAGTTCCACATTTTTTTCAGTGCCTAGCATGCCTAGGCATTTTGGGCAGACTAATAATAATTCTTACTCTGTATTACAAATTACAAATGATTAAATGGATTTACAATAGTGAAGTAGTTCAGAACATTTAAGAATATAACAGTTTGTAAAATTAGTAATGAGAATGATTTTGTCTTGGCATGATACACAGTTTCTATTAAAGCTTAATGGTAATCTACTTGGAAAAGGGGGGTAGGGAACTTGTATTGAATTATTATTAATACTGAAAACTAGTATAATGAACACTCATCAATGCTCAGTAATAACCCACATGGATACAGAAACACAGGAGGATGATTGATCTGTTTATTTTGACTTGTTTCTGGAATCTGCTGAAGAGGACCACAGAAAGTGGTTGAAATATACAGATCAATCAGCCTCCTGTGTTTTTGTCTCTATGTGGGCTATTATTGAGCATTATTATTATAATCATTATTGATTATAAAAATTAACTTTTTCTACCTCCAGAATCTGTTCACAATCTTGATGATTTCATCAGCATGGACCCGAAGCGGAGCGTCGGGACTGTATATAATCTCCAGGATTTTGTACGCAGATTCTACAAGAACATGTAGAGCATCTACATCTACATACTATTACCCTCTTCATGAAGATATGAAGGATGCTCGGTTTACAAGAGTTTCCAAAGTCTGGAATACCTGTTGTATCATTTAATGTAGTCACCTTTAATGAAAGAAATTTTTGTTCTTCATGTGTGATACTTTGAAAATAAATTTTGTTAAAAGTGATTTAAAAATGTTGAGATGTTAAAAATTTTTTTTTTTTTACACTGTTGTAATGTTAAATAATTAAGAGTATCATAGAAAATCATAATGTGTTATGAGTCTGTTGAAAGTAATTAAGACATTAATTTTTATATACAGAATTATAAGAATTTATTAAATTATTCATTAATTGCCTTTTCAGGATGTACTGTATCTTCTTTGGCAAACCTATATAGAATTTTTATTATAAATTTATATTTGTATAATTTAAACATTTAAAAATTGCCTTTGCATCTTAAACTGAAGATAATTTCCAGGAGAGTTAAGGTGATAGAATATAAAGTAAGTTAGTGAGAAGTTGATGGTAGAGTATATTCAGTCAGTGAGAAGTTGATGATAGAGTATATTCAGTCAGTGAGAAGTTGATGGTAGAGTATATTCAGACTGTGAGAAGTTGATGGTAGAGTATATTCAGTCAGTGAAAAGTTGATGGTAGAGTATATTCAGTCAGTGAGAAGTTGATGGTAGAGTATAATTAATCATTGAGAAATTGATGGTAGAGTATATTCAGTCAGTGGAAGTTGATGGTAGAGTATATTCAATCAATGAGAAGTTGATGGTAGAGTATATTCAGTCAGTGAGAAGTTGATGGCAGAGTACAGAGCTATTTAGTGAGAACATGTGTGTAGCCCCTCACACAAACAAGTGTGGTGTGTGGCAAAATTTGTGTGTATAACCATCATGTTGCATGAAGGAATTTACAGTTACATGGAAAGAAAAATGTCTAAGAATTTGTAGGCGTGATAATGAAGACACACTGCAGAACAAGCTTTTATGGAGACAATGTTTTGCTCTAAATTTAAAACATGGTACTCATTGGAAGCGAATTCCATGTAAGATTTCAAAAGTAGATATGATTAGATTCATTCGTGTTATTCAGAAAGTGGGACCAAGAGCTGGAGTATTCCCCTCACGAAGTCATATATGTAATTACAGAGCTTTAGAAGATATGACCAGGATGATGGTTTGATCTACCTGGAGTATACCTGAAGGGTGTTCTGGGGGTCAACGCTCCTGTGGCCTGGTCCATGACCAGACCTCGTGGTAGATCAGGGCCTGATTAACCAGGCTGTTACTGCTGGCCACACATAGTCCAATGTATGAATCACAGCCTAGCCGATCAGGTAATGAATTTAGGTATATGATGGGTAAATGGTTTTGAGAGAGAGAGAGAGAGAGAGAGAGAGAGAGAGAGAGAGAGAGAGAAAGAGAGGGAGGGAGAGAGAGGGAGGGAGAGAGAGGGAGGGAGAGGGAGAGAGAGAGGGAGAGAGAGAGGGAGAGAGGGAGAGAGAGAGAGGGAGAGAGAGAGAGAGGGGGGGGGAGAGAGAGAGGAAGAGGGAGGGATAGAGAGGGAGAGAGAGAGAGGGAGAGGGAGAGGGAGGGAGGGAGGGAGGGGAGGGGAGGGGAGGGGAGGGAGGGAGGGAGGGAGGGAGGGAGGGAGGGAGGGAGGGGAGGGAAGGGAGGGAGGGGAGGGGTTGTATTGCAAGGCTTTATGATCAGTGTTGAGCTTAGAGTTATCAAGTGGCAGCTGGACGAGGTTGTGAGGTGATGTGTGCTCGAAAACACTAATGTAAACATTATAAAAAAAATTTCTTGCTTTATGGTGGTTCAACTTATAATATTTCAACTTTACGATGGTGCTAAAGCGATGCACATTCTGTACAGTACAATACTGTGCATTTATTGATTGGATAAACTTGTATTAATTTATTTACTTTTCAATACTGGTATTTAGTTACAGTAATTGTTTATTTACTTATTCAGTGACTAGTTATTTATTTACTTGTTTACCATATACAGCAGAACCTTGACTTACGAGTTTAATCCGTTTTGTGAACTACCTTGTAACTCAATTAACTCGTATATCAAATCAATTTTCCTCATTTAAATTAGCTGAAAAGCCATATATCTGTTCCTGCACTCTGGAGACGAGACAAAATACTTGAATATGATGTTAATATCAACTGTATAGCTTATTTATTTATCACAATTCATCTAATATGACATAATAAACACTATAATTAACCCAAACATGATATATACTCTAGAATGAATAAAATAGGCCATATTATGGTGGCAGAGGCAGTGGCGGAAGCGTCTGCAATTTCCTGTCCAACTTTGAATATAATATCTTCCCATGCTCTTATTGTAAGAGAAAATGGAGTATTTGTGAGGCTAACTGCAGAAATATCATATATAAATACATAATACATCATAATACACTACAGAATGTAAAGAAATATTAAACTTTAAAGTGTATATGTACTAACACACTTGGAGCAGAGATGGTGGGGGAGGTTGAGGGTAAGGCGTATGATGTCAATGGGTCTGTAAACCTCCAACAACATTTTGTTTAATCGCTGAACTTAACTGATACAGCTTTAGTATCTACATATCGTAGATGTACTAAGCTGGTATTGCCTGGCTAAGTCCATGGAAACCATCCTCTTTTTCTTCTCAGCACTGTCCTTTGCACTTATTATCTTAGGACCCATGCTTAGAAAAAAGAAATTTGGCCAAATGACTATAAAAAAATGCAAGCAAGCACCAGAAAACTGCTCCCACAGTGATGTAAACGTGTATTATGTACCAGATGTTTTGGCATCGGCTGTGCCAACTAGCGGCAGCATTCTGAATTATTATTACGTATGTATTGTGTATTATTATTATTAATTTAGGGAACTGAAGCTCTATCATTATTATTATTATAATAACAATTATTACAATGGACCCTCGGCTAACGATATTAATCCGTTCCTGAGAGCTCATCATTAGACAAAATTATCGTTAGCCAAATTAATTTTCCACTCAAGAAATAATGGAAATCCAATTAATCCATTCCAGACAGCCAAAAGTATTCAAAAATCATTTTTTTTTTCATGAAATATACATTTCCTTAAAAGAAAACAATGAGACATGCACAATAACTATATAAATAAATGTTAAAATGACACTTAACTTATTGAAGAGTATTGATGAGTAATGAGACACTGTTTTTCTTGAACACTCTGGGATTTTCAGAGTGATACCTGAGTAAAGGCTTCACTTTACAATCTCCACTAGCATTACAACAAAACAAGAAAGTGAGCCTGTCTTTCATAGGCTTGTGTCCTGGGAGTGCCTTTTCCTCCTGAGTAATGTAGGTCCTGTTTGGCATTTTCTTCCAGAACAGGCCTGTTTCGTCACAATTGAACACTTGTTGGGGTTGAAATTTTTCAGCTTCACCATGCCTTATCACACTGTGTATGCCACTACGGTTCTTAAATCTCTCAAACCAACCTTTGCTGGCTTTAAATTCACCAATATGAGCACTAGTTCCAGGCATTTTTTTCTGTTCACCTGAGTGTTAGTCGACTGGTGTGGGTCGCATCCTGGGGGACAAGATTAAGGACCCCAATGGAAATAAGTTAAGACAGTCCTTGATGACTCACTGACTTTCTTGGGTTATCCTGGGTGGCTAACCCTCTGGGGTTAATTGTTTCTCGTTAAGCCACACCAACAACAGTCTCTCCACATCTTCGAGTAATACAACTGACGGTGGTGCAGCAACACTTGACTGTGGTGCAGCAGCAGCTGACCGTGGTACGATAGTATTTTGATAGTATTTCTCACCCTTTTTACCACAGGGTTGGCACTAAAAGCTTTCTTTGGGCCCATGGTGGCTTATTTAGCAGTTAGAAGCACTATAAACAATGGAATAATACAAAATGTATCGAATGTATGCATGAAACCGGCCACCGTGGCTTGTAAACAATGACAGCAGGGCAGCTGAGGTGCTTAGGCTGGATGGACAGGTTCGAGACGAATCACGTTGGGCGAGTGTTTTATCGTTAGGTGGGCCAAAATTTTTACGCTCAAACACTTCATTAGGTGGATTTAACGTTATGCGATGCGTTTGTTAGCCGAGAGTCCACTGTATTATTATTAATTTAGGGAACTGAAGCTCTATTGTTGTTATTATTATAATATTATTATTATTATTATATTATTATTATAATAATATTATTATCATCATTATTATTATCATTATTAATTTAGGGAACTGAAGCACAGATCCAATTCCCTGCCCCTCACCAGCATTAAGGAACCTTGATGCTGGTGAGGGGCTCTTGATCTAGGGAATTGGATCTGTGCTCTAGTTACCTATATTAATAATAATTCGTTATAATAATAATAATTATTATTATTATTATTATTATTATAACGAATGCTGCCAACTCAGTGCACTGTTTACCTCGCTGTGGGAGCAGTTCTCTCATGCTTGCTTACGTTTTTGACAGTCATTTGGCCAAATTTTGTTTTTTAAGCATGGGTCCTAAGAAAGTAAGTGTACAGGACAGTGCTGAGAAGAAAAAGAGGATGATTTCCATGGAATTGAAGCATGACATCATAGATAAACAAGTGAGGTGTCCAGGTTTTGGGTTGAGGGGGAAGCAGGGGGAGTTGGCTCGTAACTCAGAGCAAAAAATCAACCCAGTGACGGCTCGTATCTCAAAAAACACGTACGTTGGGACACTCATAAGTCAAGGTTCCACTGTATTCATATTTATAGTTTAATATGTTCGTATTTGACAAGATATTTTCAACTTGTGATGGGTTCTTTGGAACCTAACTCCATTGCAAGTCGAGGAGCACCTGTATAATAAAAGCTCATGTTGTTTGGTGTGGCTTTTTATCACCAAGTCATCAGTCCTGATTTATGTCTTGATGAAGCTCAACACTGAGCAAAACTTTGCTAGAATGTGAAAAACTTGATGTGTGACCTCGCTCTCTCTCTCTCTCTATACTATGATTGCAGGCTAGTGGTGTCATTGCTGATCTCTCTGCCTCCAAATCATGTGGTGTTATACAGTACAAAATGTAGAAACACATCATTGATTTTAGTGATTTATACACAGTACATATTTAAATCAATATATGTTCATCAACCACAAAAAAATAATTGCTTGAAAATAGGGTAGATAGAGAAAGATGCAGCAAAACCCTTTATCGGCAATGGCATCGGTGATGCCACTGCACTGTAATTTGGGTTTAATTATTGACCTGGAAGTTTAGGATTCTCTTGCCATGGGTTCAAACCTCTACCCATTCTGTGGTTTATTGGCTTTTATTCATACAAGTCTCATTAGCTGTCAGTAATAATATTTATTTCTGCAAATATATGTAAAAGGTATACAGACCATAGCTGACATCAGTGACATACTTCTGTATAGAAAGTCCCTTATTATGCAGAGCATTTCCCACAAATTAGGCTAATTTTGTCCCCAGGATGTAACCCACACCAGTCAACTAACACCCAGGTACCTATTTAACTGGTAGGCAAACGTGGACAGCAGGTGTCTTAAAAAAACACACAATAATGTTTCCATCCATACTGAGGATCGAACCATAGACCTCAGTGTGTGTGAGCTAAGTGCACTACCAACCCAACTATGGGACACCATACCACTGTGGCATTACAAGTTGTAACTATATACAGTATAAACATTAATTTTATTAACATAAACAATGCTTAACAAGCACACACACACAAAAAAAAATGTACATGTATGCATATATACACACGTGCATATGAAAAAATACTATGGTGAAAATAGAAAATGAAACCCCAGTGGTTTCTTGTGCTTACACATCTTCAGAGGCTGTGTGTGTGTGTGTGTGTGTGTGTGTGTGTGTGTGTGTGTGTGTGTGTGTGTGTGTGTGTGTGTGTGTGTGTGTGTGTGTGTGTGTGTGTGTGTGTGCATGTGTGTGCATGTGTGTGTACTCACCTATTTGTACTCACCTAGTTGAGGTTGCGGGGGTCGAGTCCGAGCTCCTGGCCCCGCCTCTTCACTGATCGCTACTAGGTCACTCTCCCTGAACCATGAGCTTTATCATACCTCTGCTTAAAGCTATGTATGGATCCTGCCTCCACTACATCGCTTCCCAAACTATTCCACTTACTGACTACTCTGTGGCTGAAGAAATACTTCCTAACATCCCTGTGATTCATCTGTGTCTTCAACTTCCAACTGTGTCCCCTTGTTACTGTGTCCAATCTCTGGAACATCCTGTCTTTGTCCACCTTGTCAATTCCTCTCAGTATTTTGTATGTCGTTATCATGTCCCCCCTATCTCTCCTGTCCTCCAGTGTCGTCAGGTGTGTGAGTGTGTGTATGTGTGTGTGTGTACTCACCTAATTGTACTCACCTAAT